GTTTATAAACCACTTATAATTAAGTTTATAAACCACTTATAATTAAGTTTATAAACCACTTATAATTAAGTTTATAAACCACTTAATTAAGTTTCAACATAATATTAAACTGAGGCACCTCACTCATCAATAATAGCTTGGATTCTGTAAGGCAAAGATTCCACAAGTTACCAGTAGGTGTCTTGTTCAATTGTAACTTATGTATTGAAGAGAAAGAGCTGCAATTAATTTACAGATATCGGTAAAGTTTTACGAAAACGAATTTGACGATCTTGTTCCTCTCAAAGATATTCAATCGCTTTTGGACAATACAAGCGCGGTAAGTTGTTACATCTCATCTTGGAATCCAGTAAGGTGAAAGTCAAGCATTTGTAAGAGCGTGATAGGTCTAAGAATCCAAATCCTGTCACAAGAATGCTACCACGCTTCCTCGAACAATTTACACTGTCTTAAAAATAACAACAAAAAGAAAGAACAGAGCCAAGCGCCTGATGTGGTTTTATCCATGTTTTTTTACTCTACAATCAGCAGAGAAAATGTTGAAATGGGATTTAACAAATCCCATCCTTCTTTCCAAAGAGTTATTATTCACAAATTGAGCTCTATGAATTATTAAAACCATGCTTTCCCGTTTGCACAAAAATAAGTTATTTTTGGGCTCGTGTCAGTGGGCTATATGCAGTTTCTGTAACGTTCTTCACATGGTACGGTTGGAAATAGTTGAATATTGAGCGATGTTGAAAGTACCCAAGAAACCACACGATCAATACATTTCTACGTCCAAATTCACAAAGTTTTCTACAAATATGAATTATCAAAAGTATTGAGACAGCCTGTCTTGAAAATAGGTGTCGTGTTCGCCGCTTGAGACTCACTTTTATGAACAAGGGTATCATTTTTTGGAAATAACCATAGCTTAGGCCATGTTACTAAAATTTGCCATTTCTGGTAGAAAAATACAATAACGTTATTGGCTTCGTTTGTAGTGCGATTTCAGAGCCGATCTCTTTTCCGTCCCTCAGAAAGCTTTCCAAGTCGTCCCAAAGTAGTATAATTGGTTAAGGTACAGGTTCTGAACTGGTCAAGGCAGATATTGGTCGTTAATTGTTTTATACTACACCATGATCAGTATGGCATGGTGTATCATCATGTTAAAAGAAGAATGTTCATTCCTCGTAGAAGTTTGTCAAAGAAATCAGTGCTAAATTCTTCAATATGTTACAATATGATAATAAATTTATGACTCTCTCATTTCTTACCAGTGGACCAAGTCTAAAGTAGGTAAAACGTAATTAAAAATCATTATGAACACAATAAGGACAACCATCGTCATGAATGCCGTTTCAGCATTAATGACCAATTCATTAAACCCTTTCATAATTCCTCCATGCTTAGTCTTCCTGCTGTAGAAGAATACACTGCAA